ATTCTCAATAAATGAAGTTACGAATTTTTGACGCTTTAATTGAGCTACTGCAAAAATTCATAATTATATAATAAAATAACTATAGAGAAAGATTTCATATTCAAACTATATCACAAATCATCACGAAATATTATAAATAATAAAGGGTATAATAAAATAATAATTATAACGACGGTTTCCTAGGTTTAATTTTGATTTTTAACTCTAGACAATTAGTAAGGAATCCAGTACGAGTTTTCAATGTGGCATCTTTATCAATTAATTCTACGTCATATTTTTTGAACATCAATGCCATAAAAGATAACATGCTAATCATTGCCAACTTTCTTCCAGGACAAAGTCTTATTCCACCACCAAAAATAACTAAAGAAAATTTATCTCTATTATGAATAGACTTTTTATTTTCTTTACCAGAATTGCTCAAATCATCATTAAATTCATCTAAATCATTTTGTAAATAAAATCTATTTGGATCAAAAACAGTAGGATTGACCCAATACTTTTCATTTGTATGAACACTGGCATAATTTAAGTGAAATATAGTTTTAGCAGACCATTTGTACCCCATAGCCTCGCATTCTGCACTTGAAACTCTTTTTGATACTGGTACCACCGGCGTCATACGAGATGCTTCTTTAATTATTGCTTCGCAATACTTGAGTTTTGCAAGATGATCAGAAGTTATATATAATGTGCCAGAAGAATTATTTGGGAAAACTGAATCAATTTCATCAAACATTTTCTGCTTTACATGTGGATTATGACAAAGATAATAAACTATATAACATAATGTATTTGAAGACTGTAGAAAAAAGGTAAACGTACATATTAATAACATACGAACGATATATTATATAGTGAGGACAAATATAATATAATTCAATTAAACAATTAAACAATTAAACATACCGTGTCAGACCCAGCAATAAAAACATCAAATAAAAGTGCTCTAATATCATCATTAGTTAAAGACTCAGTCGTCTTAGTTTTTGCATCATGATTTGCAGTGATGAGAATAGTTAACAAATCATGTTTTGATTTTAATTTCAGAGGAGTATTCGCAAAATCAAAATTTCTCTTTTCAATCATATTGTTCAGCGTTTTTATTATATAATCAGCATTTTCTACAAGAGCCTTTTCTTTTTTCTTAAAAAATGGTACATAACGTCTCAAGATTGGAGGAATAATATTAAGAAACATTAATCCTCTAAGATAAGCCATGGTTGCTTGGGTAAATTTATCAGAATTATATGATTTAGGATCATCAAAAAGACTTTCAAGATTAGATTTATCAGAGTTGAGTGTATTATAATACAATCCCATAGAGCAACCTTTCTCACCGGTTGTTATGATTGAAATATTATCAGCCATAAACCTATTTATCCAATGCAAAAAATCCATTTCAAGCCAATCATTATTACATGATTGAGATTTTTTAAGCAAATTCCAGTAACCATCCAATTCTTCAAATAATTCAATATTATGTTTTATAGCATCTTCATTAAAACCAAGAGTTGAAATTGATTGTAAAAGAAAGTATTTATTAATCTTCCAGGTCTCGTAATTAGTATTAAGGAACATTCCTCGTCCAAAATTTCCAAGCAAATCCACTGCTGGTGAACGCTCAAATTTCATAAATAATGCTAAATTCTTTGTAGGTGATAATAAATTCTCGA